CCCATCCCCAGTGCAGCCAGTTCTCACAGCACAGGTCAGGAACTCAGACTTTCCACCATCTTCAGCTGCCAACAGGCCCATCCACCTTGGCTACAACAGTTTGGTCAACTCACACTTGCTCTCCTGCAGGGCACAGCAGGACAGCCACGCGCTGCAGACAGGTTGATACTCTTCAGGAGACACATGAGTTTATAAAACGGAAACAAAAAAAGAGCAAGTATATATTTCATTAAGTCTCTTAATTTTCAAAATAACCCTAAAGTGCAGCATTACTCTATCTGTAGTAGGACTTCTGGGAATCTTGTGCTCCATCCTATCAAACAATGGTTTACTTCCTAATGGGAAATGATGCTTGACTTGTTTTCCTTTGTTTTTCCTATCAAATGTTGGTTGCCAAGTTTCTGTCCAAATGTTCAAAAGATAAACTGTTTACAGGCACTAACTGAGGCAAGTCAGACTAAAAGGGGGGTGTCAGTCATGCAAGAAATAGCAGAGTAGGTCTTCATGTCATCAGGATGTTTTTGCATGTGTGACTCCCCCCCCAGAAAAAAAAGCTAATATGGGACAAGTACAAAAATAAAATGAATCAAAGAATAATTAATATTAATCATCTTGCACATTAGCAAACTTTGGCGGAAAAAAATAATGTGCCAAGTGCAGTAGTTGGTCTCATGATACATTTGTCTCCCTTTCTCCAGCACAAACACATACACCAGTGTTTCCTCTGTCCCTCAAATACCAGAAGCATTTAGCAGTGTGACCTTGTGGAGAATCCATGACTCCTGGACAAACAAGATGGTAAGTCAATAGCATTCAGGGGTTTCAAGGAAAAAGGTAGAAGACAAGAAAGGCCAAAAGATATTGGTAACTTAAAGGAATGAATCTGACCTGTTTTGCCACACAAACTCAAATAATTAAACCAGCCAATTCTCTGAAAAATTACTTAGCTGTTCAGGTAGTCTCCTCAGTACAAGAGCTTGGAGCAACTGGAAAGCAAAACATCACATGGTTATTTTCAGCAGTGGACAAACCCATCTTACAAAATACAGTTGTGAGTTTTTCTCTGCAGAGCGTAATTCTTTTTCAATAGTAAACTCACAGTTCAAAATGTGTTATTAAGCTCCCACTAGTGTTATTTGGGTCTCAACAGCATAAAAATTTAAGTGCCAGCCAAGCTTTTACCAGATTATTATGGACTTGAAAAGAATATACCCACTTTCTTGTATCTTTTAGTAAATACTAGACACAGAATAGGAAGAATATGTTCCCAAATATAGAGCAGGTATTTCTTTTTTCATTACCTGTGATAACTCTTGGTAAATATAATTTGAAAAACCATCTTCTCCCTACACTTTGTTTGCTACTATATATTTCATAAAATTTTCTATTATTTATATCCCTATTTTCTGATTGTTTTCATATTCTTTATTGCTTTTTTCTGCTATTTTACTGGTTGCACTTACAATAAATGTAATTCTCTCCTTTCAATTTCTAAACTGGATTTTTTGCCTATATATCTGATTTCCTATCTTGTACAGTACAAAGCAGTCACTCCATAACAAATTTTTGAGAGTCTGACAGACATCTAATGACACACATCTTTGCAAACTATCACCAGTGACTAAGCCTTTTTAGAAATTATTTTTCTTCTTCTCAGTAGTGGTTTCATTTCCCTGATACATCAGTAACAAACTAACAGGCACTCAGGAAAAAAAAATAAATTTAGCAAGAACAGTTTAGATATGCAAGAAACAGCTAAATAACATGCACATTCATGTTTTCAAATTGCACAGAGATAGGACCTACAGTTTTGTCATCTAACATCCCCATACATTAACAAGCATTTCAAAAAGTTTTGGAAATGAGACAGATGCCAGGCTGAATTCACCTGGGCTGTGGGAACATCTATGCTCAAAATTTGGCAGGGTCCTTGTCTACATTAGGTCTGGAAATGCAGGTCCCTCCACTCCCTTTCATCTGCCTTGATGTGCACCTGACCCACCTGGGTCAAGTCAGAGCCATCTCGATACAGGATTTCCTTCCCATAAGAATGCAACTTTTATGAATAAAATTTTCTGTTCTGCCTAGTCCCCACACTACAGTATGAAACATCTTGCCTAAATGTTCCCTGCTAAGTCTATGTAGGCAACCACAAAGCCAGCAGACAAGAGTGGAAGAATGAGAGGCTGACAATACACTTCCCTCTGTAGCTGATCCACTGGTATCAGTGGCTGCACCTCACGTGTCGCAGTCCAGGACGTGCAGGTCTCACCTCGTTATGGGGCCAGTGTGTGCAAAAGCATTCCAGGTCCTCCAGTTTACATGTAGCTGGTGAAATATTTAGGGAAAGAATGCTGCTCTGCCCAAGCTTTCATAACAGCCAATAAATTAAAAAACAAAACAAAAAGTTTAAATCAAACACCAGTAAAGCAAAATATTTGTAGTTTGTTAAAACCAGTTAATTCTTCCCACTGTGAAAGCAATGTGTGATGCTTTAAATCTAGGATGCTGCAGCTTCCGAGATGGTATGATTCACAGAGTTTGGACAGACATCACTGTCACTTCCTTGGCCACCCTCTACAATGATACAAGTAACGTCCACACAGATGGAAACAAATTCACATGACCAATAAAATGGAACCAGAAAAATGTCAGAGAATGAGGCATTTCAGTTCAAACTAAATCTTTATTCATATGGAAAATACTACTTTTCTTTTTTTGCAAATGATGCTAATAAATAAAAATACTCAGAAAGAACTTTGCTCGGTTAAGTGACTAGTAACAGCCACACGAAGCTTTTAATTCCCATGAAAACCACGCCAACGATCATGCAGATTGGCTACGAGAAAGCAATATAAACTATATTTTATTTTGTGCAATCTTATCGTACAATCTTGATGCTACCTTCTTCTAAACCATTTCACACAATTTGAAATGCAATTTCAAAACAAATTTTAAGGAACATATTCTACATTTATTCCACATATGGAGCTGTGGATAGCTTAAGCCCATAAATGTATAATGTAGTTAAGCATCTAATGAAGGTAAAAGAAGAAAGGACCCCATTCTGAAAATTCAGACACATTTATAAACATAAGAGAAGGAAAGCTCACACCGTGAGTTCTTAACAGACAAATAGATTATTAAAGCATAACAATAAATTATATTAAATTTGATAACATTGATCCTTAGAATTGTTATTTCTGAGGAAATATCACTTAAAAAGCACACCAAAACTTTCATCACTAGGAATGAAACTGAAATTTTACATATCTCAATTTCCCACTTAGATGCAATTTTGTTTTATAATAGGCTTCAGATTTGTTAGCATATTCTTTATCATACATCTAAAAACAAATTGAAAAAGGTTGCAGTTAAGCTGTGCATCAAACACGTCATCAAGGTGAGAAACAGGCACTTGACAGTATAATGTGCAAGGCAAAACCTTTACTGGTCACAGTATAAATAGTTTCTTCAGGAGTGAAATTAAAAGTTCTCAGCCCATCTTTAAGAGCTGCTAACAGATCTTTTTCTGTTCTTTTAAGTCAGCACCAACAACCAAACTAAATACTAGCTCATGCCTTAAAGGGTATTCCATAAACTATAAAATGCAGCATACTTAACCCAAGAATACTAACTCTTTCCTATAATTAACCTCAGTGTATGCATTTGCCCAAGGCAAATACAGAGTTTACTCACAGACTAAATGATGCAATATAAATGCTAACCTTTTCTCTATCAGTATTTTTTCAATAACTAATGCCAGTTTTACAAATATATTTGCCAGTTGTTGCAAGATCCTGTTTTGTAGCAGAAAACATCAATGTTCTTTTATATAAACTTAAGAACAATGTCTTTTAACATCCTATTAATATCAGGAAAAAAGAAAACAACCCAAACCATTTTGTTACAGTTTCCCTTCAGGCACATCTCAGCAGGAATCTCCAAAAAATAGCTATGTAGGAACTGTAAGCCAGAAAACTCTATGTGAATTGGAGGGAGGAGAAAAAGAGAGTTAAGGAAGGAGTAATGTGGCAATAACAGAAACAAGGTACAAGCTTAGAAAAAAATGGCATGCATCCCTTTCCATCAGCTTAAGCTTCTTGCAAAAATATGTTTACAAGACATCTGTTATATAAAGGTATATACTTTCTTGTAAAAATGCTGATTTTCTCTGACATGCTAGCTTGATCTTCCAACTGTACTGGCCATATCGCTAGGCAGTCAAGTTTTCAGTTCAGTTGAACAATCAGGAGAGAAAAAGCCTACTGTTCATTTCCTATGAAACTTTTGGTTTGATTTTTACCCATGAATGTTAAAGTAGCATTTATGTGGATCATATAAACAAAATAGAAACCAGCTTTGGATCTGGCATCAGCTGCACCGCTAATGAGAGACAATAAGCTAAAAAGAGGCACTTTTATTAGTCATATATACATTTCAAATCTCAAGTTTAACACTTCACCTACTTTTACCAAAAAAATCAAAATATCAGTAGCTAATAAAGCGGAGCTTTATAACAAAAATGCTTCAGAAGTTGTGTGTATGCACACAGTTGCAATGGCTCAGTTACTCTGCTACCCTGAAAATGCCAGAGTATAATTCAGTCATTGCTTATGGGGTGGGGGGGAAAGAACAACACAGCAAAAAGCAAAAAAGATGGTTTTAGAACAAGGATCAGCTATCGTAAAAACATGAGAACATATGCCCTTCCATAAGAAGCAACTTATACCTAGATCCAGATTCAATATCCCCCCGAGTATCAAGATCATCTTATGCTCTACTCCCTGCCGCTTTCCAAATTTTCAATCATTTTTATTTTTGGCATAACATGCACCTTAAAAACTGAAAAACTTAGCACTGTCAAAAAAAATAATTCAATATTAAAAGAAAAGAAAAAAATCAAACCAAAACCACCCCAAAACCAAACAAAACCCCCACCAAAAACCAACACAAAAAAAAACCCCAAACCAAAACAAACCAAAACAAAAACCAACAAAAAAACCCAAAAACAAACAAACCAGAAAAAAACCCAAATGCTCCATCCCCCCCCAAACAAACAGGAAAAAAACCCATCAAAACCCCCCCCCCCCCCAAATTCTGGAAGACCCATTTGACCTGACTATTGGTGACAATCTTCTAATGGAAGGAATTACATTAGAATAGTATTTTCCCACTTCATACACAGTATAGCACATTGTGACAGTAAGCATCTTGTGTGCACAAGCTGAAGTATATGCTGAGGCTGAAGATTTGGAAACAGTCTACTAAGTACAAGCATTCTCCCTGCAAGTGACAGATCAGTATTCTTGGTTAAAAAGGGACAGCATCAAAACTAAAATTTTGAGTGACCTTCAAACATCAGAAAAGAAACAGGACTTGAGCTAGTGGAACTTCCTACATAAGGCAGTCAAATTTACAACCAGTGTATACATTCACTAAGGAATTACTTTTTTTTTTGGTAAAACCAACAATCCAACATACTGCAAAGTCTGAATGTGAAATATAGGCACAAAATAGATTCTCTACTTTTTTTTCAGTGTGGAAAACATAGCTATTTAACAATGTAATAAGAAAATTTACTATCAGGTGAGCAAAAATTTGTAACAATCTGAATAAAACAAAGTACTGTATAAAGGTGCAAGATCGAGCAGATTTGATTTTGGTTTAAACATATGAGTAAATCATGGAATCTTTCTCTTCTTATCTATGAAGTATTTCACATTACCAGTATCATTCTAACTCTTCCCAGTTGTCAGTAAGGTTACCTTTGCTTTGACGTCTAATACTAACCAGCTTTCCAGCTGATTTGATACTCCACCGGGAACTGTTTCCTGAGCTGGCCAGGTTTGTGTATTTTGTGGAGCCTTTGGTTTCATCTTCCCAGCCTGACCAGGCTGCATAGTCACTTAAAGGAGTTGCTGCATTGCTGGTAGAGTCAGCAGTGCTGATCTGCGGTGGTTCCCATCCCTCAATCTCATCTGGTTTCCTAGGTGGAACATTCTGCTTTATCACCAAACTGTCCCAAAAACCTGGCTTCTTTTCAGACTTCATCTCTTCCTTTAACTTTAGATTTGTTCTACAAAAAAACAACAGTGCAGTGATAAATTTCTTCATTTTACAATGTATGTAGTAGTTATTAATAAGCATTCAATTAATTTATATATTTTACAGTCAGGGATGCTAATGAGTTTTCTAATCATCCATTACTGTCAACTTCAGGAAAAACACCATCATATGCATGTAAGCCTAAACACAGTAGAATCTTGCAGTGATTAATCAGAGGAGGACTGAGTATGGTCATTTCCTATTATAAAAGAACTTACATACATACCATCACCCCCACCCCCACCAACACCCCCCAGGGGTGAATTACACAGAACTGCCTCTGGAAATGTACCAAGTATTTTAGGATGCATTATAACTATTTAGGACTTTAACCAAAAAACAGTACAAAACACATAAACAAAAAACAAACCAAAACAAAAAAATCTCCAGAGATAGGCTAATAGAAGGAATATGAAAACGTCCTTTGTAACACCAGCTTTAACACTCACTCACTATGTCCCTCAATTTCATATTCCTGTCTCCCCCTTGCCAGTTAAACCTTATACCCTAAAATAGTTGATGTACTGTTAGGACAGTATTAGGACTTTAAAGATACCAGCTTTATCTACACAATATCGTGAAAACAGCTGTTTTGTACTTCTGGTAAGAACTCCCAAAATTCCCCTCCCAAACCCAAGAAATAACAACCTTTACTGTAACTTCTCTCTCAAAGAGACATTTGTAAGGCTACTCATATTACTTTTCTTATTCCATTAAGAATCTTCAGTCTTAATAATTTCATATTTGCAGCTGGAATATTTAAATTACAGAAATGTCAAATGTTTACAGTTAATTTTCTGTACAGGGTTATGTACGTAATCATATAATGGGCCACAAGGATAGGCTGAACACCAGTGGTGAAAAACACAACTTTCAGGGTTCAGCGAGCTAAACAGCAAATTGAAAACATTATCCACTAGTAGCATATAAATTCCTTAGCCACAACTAAACCCACCACTAAATCTTTTTCTAATATTTCTATTAAAAGAGCTTTTTGCCATCCATGAAATCTTTGCTCCCTCATATTTAAATAGAAGCAATTCAATCAATACCTTTAAAATTACTTTTCCTTTACTGAATTTTGAATTTATGATTACTCAGAATTTTCATCATGCTAAAACCAGTCACATACTCCAAACACTTTTCTTGTATTTCGTAAGCAGTACACTTGAAAAGTTCCATTTTTCTTTAAAAGTAAAGTAAAAAATGTGGTATACAGTTAAAGAAAAATATCCTAAACTTAAAAAACAGGCAGTTTTCATAATAATACCAAAATACCTTTCCACATCTGTGGTAACTCTCTTTAAATACTTTTGCTCTCTTCACTGTGTTACTTGATTCTTATATTCAGCATCAATTGCAAGCATCATTAGAGGAGCCTAGCATCTTAGTAACAACCGTAAAAGTGTACACGGATGGCTGGGAACTTTTGTGAAGTTTTACTGAACAGGCTCAAATGGAAATGGAAATATATGCTTTTATATTCTATGTTGTTTATTTATATGCAAACACCCCCCACATGCAGGTATAAACCCTTGCATTCTGAAACACATATATTTCAAAGTAAACTGGAAACAATGCATACGACAGAAGGTCTTATCAAAGATCATATTTGGCTGGAACAGATCTACTGATATGTGGCACACTTGGTTTGTACCCAGTGTAGTTAGGTAGCACATGAAGGTAAAAAATACATATATTTGTAACAGCAAAATAGTCTGTTCTGGGAAGAGATCTGTTCTGTTCAGAGAACAGCTCTAATCATGTCAGCAGCAGAACTGTGCCAAGTAACCACCTCAGCTCTGACCAGGAAGACTCGCAGATCCTAGTATAGCTACCCCACTTAACCTTTTTAGGTGTAGTAAGACTTCAAAAGAGAAAGTAGGGCATGTAAAAAAAGGAATTTGTAAACTCAACCATAATTAATCTTTAAGAGGAAAGACAGAGGGTAAGAATGACTGTTACTCAGAAGCCTTTACTCCTTTTCTACAGTAAAAAAATTATTATGCAGCTAAAGTCCCTTTTCTTCCTGACAAACCTAAAAATGTTAACAACATCTGTCCTTTCCAAATACAGCATGCCTTATTCATTGTAAACCTAACATATACATAACTCTGAAATGCACCTAAACCTTTCTTTGCTGATTTGACTTCCAGGAGTTGAACACTACTGTTCTCAGTGTCTAGCTTCATTCCTTTGCACAGCTATTTTCTGTTACAGCGAGTGCATTTTAATAGCAGATAGATCACTTGGTTTTACTTACCCTTTGGATTTTGGAGACTTGCATCCTGCTAGCAATTGCTGTTCATCATCTTTATTGAACATAGATGTCACTTCCTTCCAACCCCGGAAACTTGCACCTTGAACCTATACAGAGAAGTAAACATTCTCATAAATGTGAATCAGACCTACAAGCACAGAGTACAACTGCCACTGCTGGCTCTGGGTGGCTGATGGGCAGCAGCAGCCTTATCTCCTGTCTCCATGTGGTGCTGCTGGGAGCACAGTGGCTCAGTACAGCTGCAGAGAATGGCCATGCTTTGGAAAAGAGCTGGTTGGGTTACTGCAGCAAGAGCTCCTTCCTGCTAAGAGAAGAATATAAAACATTGATGATTTTGTGATGTCAGTGAGTACAGCTGGGCTACTGAATGTTCTGCTGGCAGGAGCTGCTTGGCTCCATTTTGGTATATCACGGTAAGAAGGGAATCTAGGAAGCTTCGAAGACAGTCTAAAGAGCTTCAGTAGACAGAAATGAAATAAACTGTCACTGCTAGAAGGAGTCACAACAGACAGGACAGCCACATGAATTATGAAACTCTTAAGATTTAACCCCAAAACTACAGCTTCTGGACCTGCAAGCAAAAAGGGTAAGAGCATTAGCTCACCAGTGACATGTAACATGTGACACTAGTGCACTACAGTGTGTTCCCTAAATTTTCTGTGACCGTTAAGCATGCAGCACAAATTACTTTTTCAACTTTATTTCACACTGGGGAGAGAGGTTCAAACCTTTAATAGAGAGGTATAGGTTATTTTTACTTTGATAGCATGGTTATAAAAAATGCACGCACAGAATTTGAAAGCCGCTGTTCTTCCTCACAGAGTCCAGTAAGAATGGTAGTGCCAGTCAGTCAGTGTTACTTGATGACATTAAAATAGTTGTCAACACAAGCAAAGGCTAATTCATCACCTATTATTATGCTTCATCTTGTTTCATCCTTTTTGCAGAACTCAGAGGTGCAAATTAGTATCAATTTGCCATTTAGGTTTTAATTGATTACAGTTTAACTGGTATGTCCACATAGGCCTTAAAACATGTAAGATGTCAGCTACCAATTGAGCACAAAAATTAGACAGGAAAATACTGGTACTGCCAACTCCTCACCTTTCAGAAACCCACGAGCTCTACCATTTACAGAAGTAACACAGCACCCTTGTTACCACATGCTAGTCATGGAGTATTTCCATACCTTGTTCTCCTGTTTTACTGTGTCCTGTGCTTTCACTTCTCACCCACCTTCTCTACTCACATCTGAACTGCTTCAGCTACTCCAACTCAGAGGCACAGCAGGTCTGTTTTAGGATCAGGAGAAAGGTCTAGCCTAGCCTCAGTGTCACTTTGGAAAGATACAAACATGGATCCAGCTATGGGAAAGCACTGGAGAACTCTGAAGAGGGAAGGCTGAGCAAGCCCAGAGCAGTTTCAAGCTCTTGTTTATGGGATATGGACAGACTCGGTACACAAGAGCCAGGTTCACCACAACTCACCTCTTCCTACATCTATGCCTAATCTTAGTGTAAACCATGGCTTCATAAAATAAAACAACAGCTTCTACATACATATATACTTTTTCCCACTCTGACAATAAAATTAATAAAGCTTATAATAAGCAAACCCTCATGTTTAATTTAAGCATACACTTTTATTTTTAATTAAGTTAAAAATACGTAGATACTACATAAAAATATGTAGCATAAAATAAAACCAGGCAAGTTGCAGATGATACCTTAAGATACCTTGCTATTCAAAATCCTCGTGTTTAACTATCACAGCCTCTTCAAGCAGTACTCAACATTTAATGCTTCTGTGGTACAAATGATGGTCTAAGCATTCAATTTTAGTCACTGAAGGCCTAATATTGTTACTTGTTTTAGTTGTTCAAGTAAATTCTGTAAAAAGTTTCACACGAGGATTTGTTACTCTGACTGGGCTTCCTCTCACTGCACAGTACTTCATCCACAACAAACTTCCATAAAAAGGAAGAATTTCAGGAAGTTGACTGTTGAAGGAAGTAATCCATTTTAAAACAAGAAAGAACAAAACAAAACAAAATAAAACAAAAATTTAAAAGACAGAAAAACTTGAGAAAGCACTTAGCTTTTCGTAGGTTAAAAATATCCTCCATCTTCCTTGAGTTTGTAGGTCCTGAGGGAACTGGCAGAGGAAGTAGCTAAGACACTATTCATCATATTTGAAAAGTTATGACAGTCCAGTGAAGTTCCCACTGAGTGGAAAAGGGGAAATATAACCCCCAATTTTTAAAAAAAAAACAGAAATAAGGAAGACTGGGGAACTACAGGCCACCCAGTCTCACCTCTTTGCCCACCAATATCATGAAGCAGATCCTCCTGGAAAGTATGCTACAGCACATGGAAAATAAGGAGGGAATTGGTGACAGCCAATATGGCTTCACTAGGGGCAAATTCTACCTTTCAAATTTGATGGTCTTCTATGACTGGGTTACAGCAGTGCTGGCTGAGGGGAGAGCAAATGGTGTCCTCTACACGGACTTCAGCAAAGCATTTGACACAGTCCTGCACAATATTCTTGTCTCTAAACTGGAGACACATGGATTTGATGGATGAATCACTCAGTGGATAAGGAATTGACTGGATGTTTGCACTCAAAGAGTTGCAGTCAACGACTCAATGTCCAAGAGGAGACCAGTGATGAGTGATGTTCCTTAGGGGTTGGTATAGGGACTGGCACTGTTTAATATCTTTGTCAGGGACATGAACAGTGGGATTGAGTGCACTCTCAGCAAGCTTGTGGATGGCACCAGATGTGGTGTACTTGACACGCTGGAGGGAAGGGATGTCATTCAGAGGGACCTTGACAGGACAGAGGTGGGCCCGTGTGAACCTCATGAAGTTCAACAAGGTCAAGTACAAGGTCCTGCAGCTGGGTGGGGCAATCCTAATCACAAATACAGGATGGGTGGAGAACGGATTGCGAACAGCCTTGAGGAGAAGGACTCAGGGGTGTTGGTTGACAGCAAGCTCAACATGACTTGGCAATGTGCGCTGGCAACTCAGAAAGCCAACGGCATCCTGGGTTGTATCAAAAGCAGCGTGGCCAGCAGGTCAGGGGAGGTGATTCTTCTCCTCTACTCTGCTCTCATGAGACCCCACCTGGAGTGCTGTGCCCAGCTCTGGGGCCCTAGACATAATAAGGATGTGAACCTACTGGAAAAGGTCCAGAGGAGGCCACAAAGATGCTCAGAGGGCTGGAGCACCTCTGGCATGAACACAGGCTAAGAGAGCTAGGGCTGTTCAGCATAGAGAAGAGCCTTAGAACACCTTCCAGTACCTAAAGGGGGGCTATAAAAAAAAACCAAAGAGGGACTTTTGATAAGGGCATGTAGAGAGAGGACAAGGAGGAATGGCCTTAAGCTGAAGGAGGGTAGGTTTAGATTAAATATTAGGAAGAAATTCTTTACTGTGAGAGCCACAAGACACTGGAACAGGTTGCCCAAAGAAGGTGTGGATGCCCCATCCCTGGAATCATTCAAAGAGTTGGATGGGGCTTTGACCAGCAACCTGATCTAGTGAAACGTGTCACTGCCCAGGGCAGGAGGGTTGTAACTAGATGAACTTTAAGGTCTCTCCTAACCAAAACCATTCTGTGATTCTATCATCTGTTATCTTACTCAAACTCTGCTATTTCATGCCTTTTGGGGAGGAACCTTTGCTACCACAGGTAAATTCACTACGTTTGTTGCACTTAAAAACTCTCACTGCCCTTTAAATTGGAAAAAGACGCAAATATATCTCAGTGATGTAATTTGTATATGTTTGTCTTTTTTCATTAATGATGTTTCATCAAGCCATTTCCACCTGATAAATTTGATGATTAAAAAGAAATAAACCCATCTTGTTACCAGTTTTCAGATAGCAATTTAATACTTAGAACTGGGTCAACTTAAATTATATGTACCTTTAAAGAACAACATTGATGAAAGACTACTTGGAGAGAAGCATTTATATGCATAGGTTCAATGTAAAAAAAAGGATATACCTATACATACACCTTCTTTAATCTAGAACATCATACATACTTCACTGACACAATGCCAACCTTTGCTACCCTGTTTGAATACTCAAGCAATCCTCTAGCCAAAAAAACAAAAGTAACGATATCCAGCCCAAAGCTTTCCATATTTTTTAATTAGATTTTTTAAAATTTAATTTCATTAGTCCAATTCTGATTTACACATATCTTTAAGAACAATTATGAGAAAAGTTCTATTCAGTGTCAATCAGATGGCATGTGCAGGTCTTCAGGTAAAAGCTCTGCACTCTTTCTACCTGTATGTAAATCACTGTCTACGCACACATTCCTTCAATATTTTCATATCCATGGCATTTGGTAGGTACAAACAAGGCTAATAACCATGTAGCAGATTGTAACTAATTTATTCTTCTCTCAACTAAGCCTTAGGAGAAATGTACACAAACATTTAAGATGTATTTCCAGCACTTACTTATTTGATGTTTCCAAAGGAAACACTGCCAGGATAATCTGCATAAGAGTACCAATGTCCAAGTAGACCATATTTTGCCAGTACGTGATAAAAGTAATTGCAAAAGCCTACTATACATTAAACAGACTAGACTGAAAGAAACCACATAAATGCAAGAGAAAAACCAGAACCTCTGCCTACAACACCTAAGCCTCCTCTTCTACACCTGCCTGCACCACCACTGACCTCCTGACACATCTTTTCTCCCAACTGAACAGGAGTCAACAGCTCAATCTTGATTGTCTTCTCAGTGGCAGCATACTGAAGAATTTAAACCTTAGCAAAGGAGGAGGTCAAATACTTATTTCATACTTTCAGAAGCTTCTTTGTAACTACTGAACTGTTTTTAAGACCACAATCCTGTTTTTTGACTACTGCTGTCATGTAGCTGTCACATACTAAAGAAATCCCTCAGGATAGGCTGCTGCATTTCTGTATTTTTTCCCAGAGTTCTTTAATGACTTTAAACATCCTGACAAGTGCCACCACCAATGCAGCTGGAACAGTTACAGCTGCATCTGCTGGCAGGTACAGCCCAGGAAGGAGATCTTGAAGACAGCATTC